ATATAATTATACGCACGCACAGGGGGCTGCTTCTTTTCCCCTCAACATGGCAAGGTCTTTGAATCGGTGATTAATTATAGCCGTTTGACTCCACCCTGTACCCGTATTCTTTGACGAAAAGACCTCAGTAGGTCCTCTGTACGTGTTCACTTTAATAGCTAGACAACATATACGCGACACATTTTACGTTCTAAAGGGTCAATGAAGGTGAACTCGGGTAATTTTTATGTTTGTAACAAACTGATGAATTATCAACACGATTATCCAATTAAAGTCAGTGTGTCGTTTTAAACTCGATGCACAAATATCTAACCACACGCCTGTTATAATATTACATTAAAGTACCAACTATGACGTATGTTGTCCTCCAGCAATTGAAAATTTAAAATTTTACCGGAATACGCCTATAGTCGGCTACTGTTAGGTCGAGTCGGGTTGCTAGACAATTTTTTTTTTATTATGGGACACGTACTTCTGACAACGCTCGGACAAGCTCGCCCGTGCGTTGCATTCGAAATCCTTCACAGCCGGGCGTCATTTAAATATAGCCACTTAGTATTTATCGAGTATCTACCTACTCTGACTCGCACAGAGGAAGTTCTGCGAGACTACTGCAGCGAGTACTAATTTTACAGTGTCTTCATATTATTATAATGTTTGATGGCGGACGGGCCCCGTTGGTGGGCCGACAGCCAGCAAGCGTGCTGCACCCTTCTCCCCCCTACTCACCCCTCGCTATGTCGCCCTTATCACAATCAACGGCCGGAAGTTTCGTTGAGCGATATCATCTAAATTAAATATTATTATTCGTTGGTCGTGTTTTTCCGTGTTTACACACACACACACACACACACACACACATACACAAATACACAAAGGGTCTACCGTTATTATTGACTGGTGGTAAACAGCACGGTATAATTTGTTAGGCACACGGTTCGTAACGGGGAGTCTCCGAATCGCTCGAATCGGAGGTCGATATATTATGGATATCGGAACTTTCAACGTTTGGGACATGTGTATTTTATTCGTACGTAATATTATCAGACCGCCCACGATCCCGATGTCTATTTCGTAGATAATATTATTATTAAAAAAGTATAAACAGATGAGAAGAATATGCTCAACACGATCCGTGTTTCCGCCCTAGTTCGCGCATGTTCGTACTGCACTGTAAAATATGAATTAATATATGCATGTGACGTCAGCTGGGATTTATTGTCGGTTGCATATATTATAAAATATTATAATATATCGCCCCTTGGAAAAATTTTGCGCACTCCTGTCGTTGAACATATTATACTTCTTATTCATTAATGCTATGGTATGTGTATAGATGTTGAGCGACTCGCCTCTTGTAAAATGTGCATGGCCAATGACGTATTGCAGTGCTTTTGAATGTCATACGGTGCATTTACGACATGTCCGCGCGGGCTGTGCGATATGGCGTGTTCTGTTCTATTTTTAAAAATTGGATTTGTCGAGCGTCGTTTCGCCGGCGTATTTTTAAACCTCGCGCTGATCGACGCCAACGTGCCACGAAAAACGCTCTCGTATCACTGAGCGGTAGACATTATAACGCGTATGGTTACGCTCTTGGCGATGATGGGCGGAGAAAAAGCACGCGAGATGAGCCCCAAGGTCGTGCCTTTATTCCGTCGCCTTTATGGCGGGAAAACAGTATGGATTATTTTGTTTATTAGCCTACCCATGCAACTCCTCCTCGGTGAATCCGTATAGATTTATTTTCTCGAGTGGTATTATAATATAGCGATCAGTCCGCAACGAGACCGTACAGGAAACTCCTATAATATTCACATCGATAATGGATGAGTATATGGGGTTACTCGAGACTTGAAATAGGGGAGTTGGGAAGTATAAACAAATTATGAAGGCGACTTTTTTCAGAAACAAATCGAAAAAATATCCGAACAAAGAGTGTGCGCATTAACTGAAACATGCAAAACCGTGGTACTGAAAATAAGAGTTGTTATTGTTATGTTAGAGAGAACCAAGGGATGATAAAAATAGATTTTAAAATGATCTAAACGGATATGGGGGAGTTTTGAAATGCCTTAAATTATTTTGAAATAAAAATAAACGACATTAAGATTGTAGTAAAAATAGTTTCAGCCCTAACATGTCGCATATATCAATATTTATAATATACTATATAAATACCCTAAATAGTGCTTAGTTTAATGTAATTATAACTACCAATATTATGTCGAATATTTTTTTATTTCTGTTTTTAATTTGATGTAATTATTACTATGTTACTTCTTCATTTAATTTTTTTACTGATGTAAAAACAATATGTGAAATCTAAGAATTATTTTACATTTGATCAAAATACTTATCTCGAACATCTGCGATTACGATTTAATGATTTATTTACAATCTATAAGTTCGGGTGTCAGAAGAAGTAGGTCAAGTCCATCTAAACGAGTTTGTAAACATTTACGAAATACGTTAACTAGGAATATTTGACCTCTAACAGAATAATAGACACTTCTCGACCAGGAATAAAATTGTAATTTCCAAACTTGGCTGTTATACTTGTGTGAACTGATCAAGGTATTAATTTAATAATCCAGGGTAATTACTTTTATTTAAAGTTTATCATTATCGTGGTAAATAAACTACGTGAACTGAATAATATTATCGACGAGTTGACCGTCATCGAATTATTGTTTCGTATCAATAACAATAATTAATGACATCATCTGTAATGACAGTCAGATTGGTATGTACAGGTATGCGTTTACCGGATGGTTGATACCGCTACGACCCATCATATTTTGTCGTAATTATATTATTATTTGTGCGTTACGTTTATTTTCCGCTTGTATAAATACTATATTGTACTTGGATGATATTTGTTTGACACGTGTGTCAAATGAACACAATGGACATTCAATGGTGGTTCGTGAATATATAGTACCTATAATAGTATATCTCAATATTAATAAAACCATTATTCGTTATAATTTATTGTAAATAATTTATAATACCTAATTGCAGCGTTTGTAATGTTTTGCTCGTAATTATATTATATACTTGAGTTCTCGGCATATTTAAATCGTTCATAATTGGTCGTATAGACATTCGTTCTTGAATTTTAGAATGTTATTATCATATTATAATAATATTATTATCCTTGTTCTACGCCGGGAGAAATTTGAAGCCTTAAAAAAATCAGTTTACAGGAAGCACCTGGCTACCGGCGTTAATTGTTAGGACGAGGAGAGGGGGGGATATTATTCAACGATATCCAAATCGTGTCTTCCGGTCCGAGGTAAAAGAACTGCGGTTTTCAATGAAATCTCGAGACTGATTGTTGTACGGTCGTACTATAAATACATACTTAGGCATTATATGTTTGCACTTAACAGTGACTTTTTTTCTTCTACCATTAGTTATTATCGGCTTCTATACACGTGTATAATATGCGTTTTCTAATCCAGTCGTGACATTTTGACGCACACATTCTATCATTTGCGGTCCGCCCACGTCAACACGAAATGTACGCGTTTTATTGTGGCTCAGCGACAACATTTTAAAACATAAACATTGTACTCGCTTACGGGTTTTGTATACACTAAATCTTTTGTATACTTTAAGCGTTAATTCGATGCGAAATAAATAAATAAACATTTATCGTTGGCTACACAGTATACAATCGCGGTTCTACGCGTCATTATTGACAAAGCATTTAAAAAATAATTCGATTCTTTTTAATACGTTTGCCACGTATATCATTCTGTTTTGTCGGGCTCGTTAATATTGTTGGATCAACTGTGACAACTTCACTTAGGATGAACTGTCATCCCTAACCGCCAAAAGGACGGAAACGTCGCAGGGGTTCCACTGTTCAAACACGCACTCTTGTTCTACCCGAATGTTTACCCTGCGAGGAAGGGTAACCTAATATTGGTCGTCCACGAAATGGTCATATAATGTCATACTATATTTAATGGGTTTTATAAAAATATATATTTTTGTTAGCAAGAGTATAGTCGAGTATCTCGATACTCTTGCTAAAACTCTGGTGACCTCGGAACCGTTGGAACGACACCACCATATTTAGCCTGGGACACACAACCACCGATATTAGGATACATGTGATTAGTACTCGCGTTGTCATTTTCATCTGAAAAAAAAACAAAATATAATGAACGAAATTCTCATTTATCCTTGACTATTATACCAACATGCGTGGTCCTACCATCTACTGTATTAGGATATATTATTTAAAACCCATGTACTGTTTCTATAATATATTATGTTAATATATTTCAGACCATACGTTTATCGTACTATACAGTTAGATAATGCACTATGTAGGTACCCAATGGTTAATATACTCGATTGTGATATTGTATAATTCAATTTACAAACCTGAACTTAAATAAAATATTCTAATTTCTAAAATGAATAATAAAACTATGGCCTATGACGATATTTTTTTTTTCATGGGCGTGTTTAAATAAATTACACTGTGTCACTATTATTTGTACACTATATTAATAAACCAAAAAGTCTTATGTTACTTATTCATTTATGTAGAATTTCGAAACTAAAATGTTATCCTAAATTTCTTATCAAGATTACTTATACTTGATTTATGTTTACATTAGGTGTGCATCTTACACAATGCAGGAGGTCAAAAGATCATTGTGTTGCCCACGTTTTTTGTTGTTGTTATTTTTCAGTTATATGTATATCTTCCAGGCTATTGTTAGAACTGTTTGAATCCGTACGTCTTCACCATGTGTAAGACAGCTATTTATTTTGATTTTCAATCGGAAGAAAACACAATACATATACTATTTGTGCAAAGTTCATTGTAATGACAAATCATAAATCATAATACAATTATCATTATTATTTGCTGTAGGTTGCTGAAATAATTATTGCGTTCAATGTTTTATTTTTTTTGTTTTCGTGATTTGTTCGAGGCGTTCTAATACTAATTCAATATTTTTTACCTCCTATAGATATCCGCCTCCAGCTTAACGAACATCTACGATGTCTGGACAGTCGAGTCGAAGCACAAGTATCCTTAGTATCCGAGCTTCAAGATTACTTCAGAAAGCGGGCCGAGGTAGAAATGGACTACAGCAAAAGCCTGGATAAGTTGGCTAAAAGTTTACAACTCCGCCACAAAGAACAAAAACAAAAGTGAGTGCATAAATACAAATAATATAATAATATTACCTATTAAAGTTTCATGCCACATAAACTGGTTTATAATCCACGTATATTTATATTATCCTGATAACATACTTATTTTTAATTTCTTTTTGCTAACATTTATTTAAAATATTACATAAATAAATTTTACAAGTATTCAAATATACCTATTCTGGTTCAAAAAAACCTTAATCTTAATATTTTTTTTTTATAATACAATTCTACACGTCTTGTCACCTACACCTATAAAAACATTTCACCATTTCAAAATTAAACATAATCACATATTATTTAAAGCCACGATTTATGAAGTTAGTAAAAAAAAAAATTAATTAATTAACCGATAAATTGAATTTAAAAATTAAATACAGCTAAAAAATTGTATAGTAAAAGTTTTAAAAAAAGTATTCGATAACCATACAAGAATACATTTAAATCATTTTATTCAAGTACTTAAAAACATGGAATGTATTTTTTTACAAACTATAAATTGTTAACTATAATAGGTAAAAATGTAAATATTGTGCAATATACATAATGTAACATTATACCTACTATTATACTCGCTATTATAGTAAAATTTCTCACGATGTTATAAATTAAAAATTAAAAATATAAATATAAATATTTATAATTGTGAAATTTCACTTGCCGCTTTTTGCGTTCAACCGTTCACGCCCTCTCACCTCATTGAATATTATAACTTGAACGTAGAAAATAATTTAATACGTGTACCTAATGTAAAATATACAAAACAGAGTAAGTGTGTTTAAAAATTATCATATATTTTGGAATTAGTATTACTAACTACAAACGTCAATAAAAACAAAACACATTACCTTAGGTGTGTGTGTATCCTGTGTTTTCACGTTAGCAGGAAGGAATGCAAATTAGTTTGTTTCATATTTGTATTGAATACACTTGCATGTATGATATCGTTAACCTTGTGTGTACTTAGGAGAGAGCAGTGGTCGTTATTTACCAGCTACTCGTGTTGGCAGCAACTGGTGTTGCAAACAAAAAATCTCAGTAAAGATCACGGAGCGCTCAGTGAGCTTTATTCCACTCATCTAGTCAGCAGATTGTCTCAGGTCACTGAAGATGTGCAAAGGATATATAAAAGAGTTAGTATAGAAAATCAATTGAATATATGTCTGCTAGATCGTCAACTTAACTAATTTTGTGTTGCTTGAATTAATAGTGTCGGGAGATTTGTTACGAAATCCACGAGGAAATATTACGGGTTCTTCACGAACTGCATACCACCATGAAAACGTATCAGTCGTATCAGACGGAAGCCAAACAGGCAGAAGCGAAGCTTAAAGTGGCTGAAAATCAAAGACTGAAAATCGAACAGGCAGTTCCTAAAGAAAAACTCGATAAGTCAAAAAAAGTTAAACTTATCGGGAAAGAAGTTCAAAAAGTAATAATTTGTTATTTATTTGTATTTTAAACGTCGAGCTTACTAATCGTTCATATTTTAGAGAAAGAACAAATACTTCGATGCCAAACTGAAAGCATTGAAAGCTCGCAACGAGTACATTCTGTGTCTGGAAGCAACCAACAGCACAGTGCACAAATACTTTGTCGATGATTTATCCGATCTAATGGACTGCATGGATTTTGGATTTCACCACTGCGTGACCAAAGCTTTAAAGATGCAAACATCGGCGGAAGAAGGCCGTATTCATTCCATGCAAGCTGGCCTAGACGCTACTAATTTAATTGTCACGGCTATGGACTCCGGTGTGGACAAACAACGATTTTTAGAATTTAACCATACCGCGTTTATGATACCTAAGAAATTTGAATTTCAAGGACAAAAAGATGAGGTGATTATTGTGTGATATAATTTTACTAATATTCTACTTACAGCATACCTATTTATTGTTACTTGTTTAGTACGCGGAACCAGAATTGCAAAAATTGCTGTGTGCTGATATGGAGACGAGGTTGGAGCAGCTGAATCAAAGAGTTACGAGCCTGCACACGGAGTCCGATGAGGTGTGGAAAACACTGGCTACCGCTGAAAAAACTCTTTTGGAGATGCTCACTGCCAACGACTACGATTGTAGCAATTATTTCGGCGAAAAGGCAATTCCGACGAGCAAACCACCGGAAACCATTAGTATTAAGTTGCGAGCAGACAAACACGAGACTGAAGAATTTTATCTAACCGTTAGTATATTGTCGCTGAACACGTATTCGAATATTTCGGATTTCACTCAAATAGTATAATAAGTCTAAAATAAATAATTAGGCAATATACATGCTTATTATAAAATACAATGCACTACTCGTATGTGTACTATATTTTATTTTCCATCGACACATATTTAAATAATAATTATTTATTACATTTATTTTTAATGCTGCACACATGCGGAATGTTTTTTTTTTTATATTTCCTCTTTGTTCTTTGTTGTAGAAACTACGTGATTATCTCATGAGAACGAGTCGAATCGTACGTCTAGATGCCAAACAGCAGCACATAAACGAAACGTTAACGTCCATATGTTGCAAGCGTCCCCAAAATGGCAACGTCGATCTGACGCCCGCTAAACTGACGCCTCAGCGACCGCTGCACAAACCGATTGTCCGAAGGAAAAGGATAGGCAGGCTACAGATGAACGGTCAACCAAAACTGTTTGGCGGGTCCCTGGAAGAATATTTGGATGCAACGAATCAAGAGATACCGTTGGTAATTAAGAGCTGTATTCGAGTGATAAACTTATACGGTAAGATATTTTGCTATTAGATTTTCCATGGTTTTCGTTACTAATCCAAAATTTTCCCCTCAGGTCTTCACCATCAAGGAATTTTTAGAGTGTCCGGCTCGCAAGTAGAAATCAACAATTTCAAAGACGCGTTCGAGAGGGGTGAAGACCCGCTTGCTGATATGACAGACGCCTCAGACATAAATTCCGTGGCTGGAGTGTTGAAATTGTATTTACGTGAACTCCGAGAACCTCTGTTCCCAATTATTTATTTCGACCAATTTATGGAACTTGCACGTAAGCTTTTTTTTGAGTATACAAATTATAGCCTAAGTTTTTATGATTTGAAAAAAATATATTTATATATATGATTTGACATAGTTTTCAATATGCCGTTTCCATAAATGTAACTGGTCATTTTCTATTTTTTTGAAACGATCATATATTTATGGTAAGAAATAAATGAAAGCTTGATTCATCAGATTAACTACTTTTAAAATTGAATAATTTTTCAATTTATTTAACTTAATATGCGTAGGAGAAATGTGATTAACGGATCACTCAATTTTACTAAATTGTAGGTGGGATGTGTAGGTATTGATATTGATTGAATAACATGTTTTAACGAATATTTTTCTGTTCTTATAATATAATTATAATATTTTGTATGAAAAATATTATATCTTCAAAAATAATTGTATTTAGTTGTTTTGGCATATGCCTACTTATTGTTCAGTGTTCAAGTTTGTATTTATTCAAAGGTTTTATTATTTTATAGAACTCGAATCACGTCATAAATTTGTGTTGAAGATTAAAGAACTCGTTCAAAGCTTTCCAAATCAAGTGGTTGTCATGTTGAGATATTTATTTGCGTTCCTAAACCAGTAAGTCTATTCGAGTATATACAATAAATTGTAATATAATGACTATTATAAATGTATGCAGTGTTTACTGCAGGTGGTACAACATATTTATTAAACTTATTTTGCGTATTATTTCAGTTTGTCCGAGTTCAGCGACGAAAACATGATGGATGTTTACAATCTGGCCATTTGTTTTGGTCCGACATTAGTGCCGGTACCCGAAGAAAAAGACCAAGTTCAGTACCAGAACCTGGTCAACGATCTCATAAAAAATATAATTCTATTCCACGAAGACATATTCCCGTCGCCGTCGGATATCGGCGGGCTTGTGTACGAAAAGTACATATCCCGCGAGCCCGATGACGTGGACGTGGGCGATTCACCTTCTGACCATGCCCAAGAGGACATCGACTCTGAGGTTTACCCATCAGAAGACGGTACGTAGTGGTTTAGGTACAAAACTCATTGTTAGTCGAAAGAAACAATTGAAAAAAAAAATCAAAGCACAACAAAAACGTGTCTTATTGATTCCAACGGAGCGAAACCGAGTATAATGAGATCAAATAACATTCTATAAAATACTAAAACTAACGAAGCATAGCGATTTGGTGTTGGACTTGACGTAAATGATTTAAAAATATGAGTCACGACTTGTGGTGGTATTACATTATAAATTTAATTGGGTAACATCGTTAGTAAGACAAGTCATTCAAATCACGTTGGTACTCGGTAATCACTTGAAATATACATTGTAATAGATATTATAAAACCTTTTTCGTGTTTATGGCTAATAAATGATTATGGCTATCGTTATTCTAAGTAATTATACTGACGAAACAAGACATTTAAATATTATCATGTGTTCTTCATTTTTTGTACAGTTTTTTTTTTAAATATTATTTTAGAATAATATAATGATAAGTATTATAATCTGCAGTTGACAGTTCTACTATACTTCATCAATTGAACGTTTATTTTATATTTTTAACAGAACCAAAAATGTATTCAACTTACAATTGTTTTTTTAACGATTAAAATGTTAAATAGTTTATAATTTTTCTTCTTAGAATTTTTTTATTGTACAATTTTTAATTTAGTTGCCAAACCCAAACACCTAAAATGTTATTAAAAGGTCCTATATTGTTCTATTTTTTAGGATATAATGAACCATAATATAATATAGTTTGAACTACTGTAAAAATCATAACACAGGGGTATTGGTACCCTTGGTTAGGGTATTTAGTTTGGCAGTTACCATGATTTTTTTTTTTATAAAACGAATATTCTCGATCATAACATTATAGTTTTTTTTTAAATTTCGCATGCACATTTTTACTCTATATTATTATCTATTCTGTTATAATCATTGTGTTTATGTTTGTGAGGGCTTTCAATTTTTAGACATGTCTATGAAAACTATAATTATTAAAATATTTCGATTCAACATTTTTTACCAACTGCGGTAGCTATTTGGCTTTGTTTTCATGATTCAATGAATTATATGATAGAATGTATCTTGCTTTCGACTAGGTAGCCGAAGCGAATCAGTGCCCAAAATCCAGGTTTATATAACCTGTTTGTATTTTTTTTCATACTTGCTATGCTTATTTTAGTATAAATGTGTAATTTTAATTCAATACTATTTAAATACAATTAAAATAAGGTATGTGTACATCGACGTTAAGTGTTAAGTGTATATTTTGTATTAATTCTCTGTACCTACTAAAACTTGGTTACGATTTTCTAAATTAATAGTTGAGTTTTTGTGACGAATCCCCCACAACTTGTAAGATGTAAATATTATAACGAAATTGTGATCATTAAAAGGATTATTCAAAAGTTTTCGAACACGTCGAACCGACCGAACCTAATCGAAATCGCTATAAGCCAATCACACACATCCGTCTTTGTCGCATCGATGATCACAACAGTAAACTCAAATGCCATATTAAACCTAAGTCGAATTTTGTTTTTAAATAATTAAAGTGGTTACCTCAATTTTTGAGTTGATTGGGCGAACTCAAGATCTAAGATAATCGTGTATCAGTCACACACGCTCCTCTCCAGAACTAATACTATACAATTATAGTACACACATATATATATTAAACATTTTGAGCTATAATAATTGTTGTTCAAAGAGCTATTAAAAAAAAAAACATCAAACACAAATTAGCAAATGTAAATTTTGTGTACAGATACATGTGTCATTCATAAAACTATATCTGGCAAACTCTTATATCAAAAGTATCTACTTTGATCAAAAAAAATATATTTATATTATAATAATGTCGTAATTTTTTATTTTGTCAAAATGAAACCAAAAATGAGTAAGGTGTTTGATCTTCTATACAATGGGTTTTTTCAGAAAAGACCTTTGATTAATTTATTATAATATATTGCATTGCTTACATCATAATATTTATTATATATTATTGCTATAGGTACTGTATTACTCAAAATATTTATGTTTTTATTTTAGAATGTGAAAGTCTCGAGGCTATAGCACAGCATGATTTTGTTGCTCGATCAGAACGGGAATTAAGTTTCAAGAAGGGTGAAACTATTGCTCTTCATACTCAAGTTTCTGGAGATTGGTGGCGTGGTTGTGTCAACGGTCGAGAAGGTCTTATACCGGACAAATATATACTTCTTAAGATCAGGTAAACGTGATAATTCAACAATCATGGCAATATAATTATGTGAAAAAAAGGATTATGAAAAAATAACTGTTCAGAGTTGTAAACTATTCTGTGCATAGTTACATTATTTTTATCCCGTCATGGTTATAATATAAGTCAAATAATAACTTCTGTTAGTGAATAATATGATGATTTGTATTCATTACATCCCTGTTAAATAAAACAAATATATTCCAGTAAACCAATAACTTTATTTTATATTGCGATTGGTAAAAAATTATATAAATACTGTACTCAATCCGTTAACATATTTTTAAAATTCTAAACCGATGTCTTATGTATATGTATTTAATTCAACTGAAAAATTAATTCGAGTTTCGAACGATGTACATTATTTTAACGAATCTAACCTTAAAAAATTATCACTCGTCAGTATATTCTTTGACAAACAAATGAGGGGGGGAGGTACCTACCCACATAATATTTTTCAGAGACAGATTTATAATTTTAGTTTCCCCATTTTGTATATCGTGGCACATTTCAGACACGATTATTATTTTATTTTATTTCAACTATCACATAGTTGGAAATTTGGGGGAGGAATCGAGAGGACAAAGCCTCCACAAAGCATAGAAATAGAAAAATGTGCAGCTCCTCAAACATAATAAGTGACCACTGGGCACTACTTTATAAATAATAAATATAAAGTAACCTTCTTTTAAAATTCACTTGGAGGGCGAATAAAAATAAGAACCATTAAAAAGAATCTTTGATTAATAAAACTTTCATCTACTTATCTTTTTTATCGCTTTAAAGAAATAATTCACAAATGCTAATAATATAACTGATACACAAATATAGTACATAATATGTATTTGTATGTGTGTGATACAGGATGTCCAAAATAAATCACACTTATGTTTTGCATGGTGTTTAAGATCAAATGAGTTTTGCAAGCGCATCAGGGTGTGATTATTGTATTATGTGTTCAAGTATTTTTAAATATAACCCCCACCCCTCTAAAATTATTGAACACTCTCAGCTATAAGCTACCCTAACCTCGAGTAAAATAAAAACATGTATAATATTTGAAATAAAAATAGAAAAACCTTTATGCTTGTACTATACTCAGTCTACAACATGGGTTGGCCATACGAAATTCTCGTCGTACTTACCTAAACTTGTGGCCGTTTGTTTGCACACAGGGACGAAGAACGCGAGAAACCTGCGGCCGAACCCTGCGCCAAGTCCATCACGTCCTCGGACGATTCGACCAGACGGCGGACATCCAGTTCCAACGATTCGGTGCTGTCCGAATCAGCTGCTTCCGGTTATTCTTCGCCACCGCTGGCCGACGTGCCGTGGCCACCGAACTCGGCAGGCTCCGGAACAACGGCCGGAAGGAACTCGGCGTCGTCTTCCCCGCACCGCCGGGCTCTGGCCGATGCGCCCACTCACGAGGTACTTGAGACCACCGTCTGAGTCGAATGCATTTTACGTTTTGTTCTGCCGTTTTTTTTTTTTTTGAAAATTCTTACTCTACCCACTCGTAGAGATATCGTAGCTTGAAAAGGTTTTTTCTTTTAAATTTAATTATAATTTTTATAATTTTTTTTTTTAATCGTAAATTACTTTTTTTTCGAAAATCTCTTCTTCTGCATCCTTTGTATTTTTTTCGTGTAGTTAATAATTATTATATATAATATATGATATTATCGTAGACTTCGTGTGCATACCGTACATATAAATTTAATTTTAATTTTATGTACCCATACTTGTGTGTGTAACGACGATAATAATATATTGTATACGTAGATGTTTTGTTTTGTTTACTCGTAGAGGTACCAATAAATCTATACAAATCACTACGAGTGTCTTGCGTGTGCGTTTGAGTGTTTTTACTACGAAAAATCCCAGCCGGGAACGTTGTTATTATTTTTTATCACCTATACAGCATACTTACTGTTGTACTGTTTAGCGTTGATTTTTTTTTTTAAGCATGATGAAATCTGTTTTCAAACTTTATTTTTGCGATTTGATTACTTGTTCTCATACTATTTTCACCCGACGCCTGCTCACGAGCTTTGCATTTTCTGTGAGGCTTCTCGCTCACTCTTGCTAGTCCGCTTTTAGAATCCAAAAATCAAAGAAGCCCACTGCGTAATTCGTTTTAACTCCAAAATAGATACTTGTGTACATTATATTATACTATTTATCCGAATGACACACTTATACCAACGCAATTATTATACTGTATTATTATTATTTTTATTTTTATTATTATTTATTATTACCTAATAGTTTTAATTTATTTTTACCAATAGATTTTTTTTTATATTTAATATACAATTAAATATGATTTCAATAGTGTTATATAGTTAATTACAATATATAGATGTAATTGAATCGTAGAATATTATCTCAGTACCATAGTCACAGGAGTAAGTCATGTTCCAACATGTTAATGTTTTGTGGACTTTTTAGGTTCACATCTAAATATATTTTTTTATTATCATTGTTTTGCGCATATTATTTTGTAAACCGCATGTAAAATTATACGTAAAATATATATAGATTATAGGTGGTATAATATATATATATATACAATTATATTATATTTTGTAAACAGATTTTTTATTATTATTATTATTAAACGATATGTCTGTATTTTATAATAAATCTGTCGGTATCTTATTATTCACCATGATGATGATTATTATAATAATAATATAGTGCTTGTGCTTTTGGTCGGCGGTTGCATTTTGCATGAACAATAATATGCAGACTCAGACTCAAGGTGATGACTTCGTGTGCCGTGTTACATGCACGATAAATGAACTACTAAAGTGCATCCTAGTGCAAACGGTATAAAACGCATTTTGCCTGCAGAGATGAGTAATACCTATCGCGTCGAACGTTGACCGCTAAATATCGTTCGGACCGTACCGTCAACAATAACGATCCAACCGCAATCTCGATTTATGACGTGCCTACTCGGGATTAATCGTGATCAGCGTGATTCGATCGTTCGGTAAAAATCGTGTTCGATACATTTACTTTCGCGCGAGTATAATACCTTATATTATGATGACGAAAGACGTGTGTAGTAACCGTGCTGTTCACCGCGATAAATGCAAACTGCACGAAGTGACGTGCAGTGCAGCGAGTTGTTAAAAAAAAAAATGATAATAATATTAAGAAGAAACGACCCTACGTACTATTATATAGACGTCTTTTGATCGTAGCGGAGAAGTAAAAATGGTCCGAAATACTAGAGTTTCCGCTGCTGCAGGGTGAATCGTAATAGTATGGTTGAAATATTTCCGAAACGACTTGTTGATCACTCTCGCAAGAGCCAGTCATGTAAATTCGGCGTAGGTATAGCGAAGAAAAATCACTGGTACTTGTACCATAGGTACAATTTAACAAAAACGCACGAATGAAGAACAATTAAACAATTATGTTATGGTTGCTCTGCCGAAACGTCGTCTATATAGCATACAACACGTTTTTGGTGAACCTGCCGTCTACAGTGAACAAATATTTATAATATATACAGATTGATTCACTAAGTATGCCCACCCACATATAAATAATGAATTTTTTTAAAAATCTGATTTTTGGAGTTTTCAAATGATTAGATTTTTACACGATTTAAGGATTCTTGTGATTTTTATAATTATTTTTTCAAATGAGAACCAATTTTTTAAAAATATTATTTGTTAAGGAGTTGAATTTTTTGAAAAATGTCAAGTACCTATCTAAATCAAAATAATTGTGAAAATCGGTTTCTGAGTTATTAAAATGTTTATATTTACTAAAGATAATTAAAATAGTCCTATAATCATCGTTTTAAATAAAATATAAAATTGATGTAATATTAAGTCTAGGTAGTTAAATATTCTACTGTAAAAGATGAAAAAATAATTAGTACCTATAATAACATTATTTCTGAATGTATAGTATAAATTATTATTGATTTCCTTATTCGATACGAATGTTATTGTTATTATTTATTATTATAATAATTATTATATACTAAATAATATTCCAATTATCATTGATTTAAAATAGTATACAAATTAAAATTGTTTACCCTCAACAGGCTGTGCCTGCTCCCTTTAATCCAGCCCTGCATGTACCTAATATAATATTATCCTTAGGATCTACACTAATTTAAAAATAATTCATACGTTTCTGTTTAGATTTTTTTAGATACTAAACATTTCAAAAAAAAAAATTCTCTATTTTTATCTTTGAAAATATGGTCTCTTCGTGTGAACACAATCATATTCTGAGAATCAGATTTTGAATAACCTCATTACTGTTGTGGGAAAAAACGGGGGTGACATAGGTACTTAGTGGATGTGCAATGTGTATGTGCCTACACGTTATACAAACATTAGTAGCATAATATAGCTGTAATAGAAACAATAACTGTTTGCAAACCTTCCCGATGATTTATGCATCATGTTGTCAAAAGTTTCTTTCGTCGCGAGGTCCCTCGAGGATCTGAAACATTCGGAACACACGGTAAATAATATACAGGAGGTCGTGACGACTAGTGCCGGGGGCAGTGTCATCCTGTCAATTTGCAGCTGCAGCCAGGACGACGTCTAAACTATATGTAGACTAGGATCGAACGCACTGCAACACTGTACCTAATTAGGATTATTCCACGATACTGCACCTTGTCATTTACCTTCTGCATATTAAAACCGTCATCGTATGCTATTCATTAACTACGACGGTCGTTCTAAATGTTTGTCTAGTCAAAAAGAGATCTGCAACCGTATAGTGCACAATTTCGTTAACGTCGATTGCCGAATACCGGCAACAGGAATCGCACCAGGATCATTATCGATACAGAAACAACTATTAATATTATATTACTCATAATAGTATTTATGTTTGTGTTATTTTCCTATTCCCTCATCATATTATATAGGCTTGCACTTAAGATGAGTTTAGAAGAGTTCTTAATGTGTTGTAGAAAACCTCGAAACATAATATAATCATACACTGCTGGGAGATTCGTCGTTTCGCAGCGACTTTTAAAACGAGACGCGTTTTGCGCTTAAACTTTTTTAAAAATGGATATTATATTCTTTGAAACACATCTACACCCCTCGAGACTGCAATTTCAGTTGCATCGCGCTATTCTGTGGTGAGCATATTATTTTTTTTATAGAGCTGCTGCAGGAATACTATAATCTCTGTAAAACCGCAGGCTGCAACCACTCGACGACAACGTGAAGTAATAACTGATTACCGTTATATTGTTACCACGTCGCCGCCGCCACACAGTCGATCTTAACTCCCGGAAATGATTTACAAGGTTTCTATCGCCGTCATCGCGCGTCACGGAGCCAACAGATTAACGTCAGGATGGCCGCAACAATGCGTCGTTTAATCACTACCCACGAATAATGAAATAAAATAATACAATGTGTGTATAGGCGAGCTACTCGGTTCCAGGACTGCCGCCGATACGTTTGACAAAATGTGTTTATTAATATCATAATCCCTCGCAAGACGACCGTAACTATATTATTATACACGATAGTCGCACGAGATATCGGCTTGCTTTTGTGAGGCTGCAGATTATTGTCTGCAAACCGATGCGATCTGTCGGTGTGCCTGTATATAATATTGTCGGTCGCCTTTGTACCTTTATTGAGCTCATATAACAGTATGACGTATCCTCCCAGGACGAATGCATTTCGCAGAGTGCTGATACTTTAATTCATGTTGCCATTCAGTTTTTACATAGAACACGTATGGTCTAGCTACTTCTGGAATATATCTAATATTATTATATGGGGCGATTAACCAAGCATACCTATTCGAAATCTGTTTTCTTGGAATTTTTGAATATGTACTTAAAGACCATATTTAAAAATACTTGAGAAGTTCGTATCATTTCAGGAATATTTAGAAATGTCCTGTGTTAACACCAAAGCCTGTGTATTTTTTTTCGAACGAGAACCACCTTTTTTACTTTAAATTAATGAACAGATGATTTTTGAGAAATGTTGACGTATTTCAATCAAAATTTGAACGAATAGTTTCCGAGTTAAATGAAAAAACTTTTGTTCTAATCAATATTTTATGTACATAATTTATTAACTCTTGCGTTACACATTTACACTTATAATATAACATATCATGTTTAAAAATTATTTTTAATACGGAAAAAAAAAATTGAAATCTTTTAAAATTGTTTATAAATAATTCAAAATACCTAATTTGTAAATATAGATTTTAGAAAACTGACATGATACAGTTTATGATTAATCATTATTATACATTCAGGGCTTTGATGTATTTGTATCGATATTTTGGATCGTTTTAAGTTGTGAGAAATGGCTTTTTTAGTTAAATGTTCAAATAGCATATTTCAATATCCTATTTCGTATTGCATGTTTTGCTTTTTTTTAGATATATAGATAAGTTTGCCTACATTTTATGTATGTACACACTAAAATAAAATAATTAATGTGACCTAATCCACTACGCGTTGTTACTATAATATGATTTTTAATTTAAAATACTATTTATTTTTTCATCTAACCCTCTGAGAAGAACGTTGGGCTTTCATCTATTATTGTTCGAGTTATTTTTTATTTAAAGCGTAGCAATACTGTTTGTGCTGCTATGTACACATTCCGTACGAGAGTTGAGTATAATGTTTTCAGTACAGTTGCATAAACTGGTTATTTTTTTGTATACAAATAATAATTTTCTTATTTCCATTTAGCTTAAAATATTGTTTTATACCTGTTATAAATTATAATAACGTGTATTGTAAAACATCATCGATTTTTAGTCGTTTTTGACTTACGCTTCTCGTTATTATTTGTTCATTTTTTTATTATGAAAACAATCTTACTGACGTATAACATAAAATCGTTTTCTACCCATTTTGTTGAGCCATATTTGGAATTTTAAGTACATTTTCATAAACCTGATCACCACCATAAATAGTAGTTTTTATTATTGTTTACTGTCTGATGGGACGGTGGCTGGCATGACACTGTTATGGAATGCAATCATTAGTGTTTCATATTTTTCTTAATTTATTGCTTTTATTTATCATTATCGTACAGCATAAATAGATATAGAAGTGGTAGTAGTAGTAGTAGTAGTAGCAGTTGCATTATGTTTTATCTATCGTGATACGGCGAGATCTGCCCATATTGTTGATATTATTATTAAAATAATAACTGTGCGTTGTCCTGATGACTTAAACAATAACTGGCGTGGGTGTGGGCGTGTGCGTGTGACGTTTTGCAGATGGGCAGCACCGACAGCTTGGACTCGGGAAAGGACTCGGCGTTGGACGAACAGTCGCCTTTACACGATGGCATCCCGAGGGCCCCCTGCAAGCAGCAACCGCCGATAGCGGACGGGCGGCGGAAACGAGCGGAAAAGTACTCGACGTCGTCACCTCCACCCGTTGCGGCCCGCGAACACCACAACCGGTCAAAGTCGGCGGACTGTTGCGGCGTCAGTGGCGGCGAAGAAGACGGTTCGCGGGCCAAAACACACGCCAAAAGCCTGAGCGTGGGCGACGACTCGTTTGACCACAAGATCCAGCTATGGCGGAAGCGGGCAGACTCGCAGGGATCCATCGACCGGAAGCCGATGCCCGCCGTCCGACATCAGCTCCAGCAACACGCCGCCGACATGAAGGGTACCGGTGGCGCCCCTGATCTGGTCATGGACCTTCCAGCCAGGACTTCCGGCGGCGGGGTGGCTCCTCAGGACTCGGCGCCGGCTACGACCCAAGAACCCGACAGCCCGGACATGGGCACTGCCGCAGAGCGTTTCGCCAAGCAGAACCAGTGCACGTTGAAGAAGTACAGCAAACCATTGCCCGCGGTGCCGCAGCTGGCAAACGGCGGTGGAGACAAGCCCGAACTTCCGCCCAAGTCGACCAAGCCTCCGCTCAAGGCCAAGCCACAGATATTCAAAAAACCTGTCTTCCTCGCGGCCGGTAAGGCCAACGATGGACCGGCTCCACCACACCACCCTTAGTAGTATCTTTCTATATCTACGTACGACCACCACCTACATACTTACCGCAATCGGTGGTTCGACTTCCGGTTTTGATTTCTGAATGCAAAACTCTAAACGTTCCACCTCCCGAAAATATGGACACATATATTATACGACCGCCGACAACAAATAACGTCAATAAAATGTATTTGATATTTTTTTTGCGTTAAAGTAGGGATATCTATCCACCCTCTATCGACTGTTCCCTGTGATCCTTCTTAGTTAGCAGCCACTCGTCAACCCACCCTTAACCGTATGCAATATAGTAGGTAGCTACAATCAATGTGTTGTCCAGTCGCATCCATTGATTATTTAACTTTTGGTGCAACGGTCGTTCCTGTAGTATCATTACAATATAATATAATATGTCACCTGCAGTCACCACCATTGATGTGATCGTTTTATATATCCACGATAACGTTACCCGTATATCTTATAATAACATACCTAATAATATTTATAATATTCGATAAATGGTCATTCTTTTTTCAAACCTTTTTTATAAAAAATATTTATGATATATAATATATATTTATTTAAACATTATTTTTAATCGATATTATATACTACCCATATGATATTATTACAATACGTCGTATTTTAGTCATTTCAACTCTACGTGTGCTGTCATTCGTGTGCGTGTGTGCAGTTTCCTACGTCCCCGATTGTTTACACGAAAATATTATATACAAATAATCATAATATTTACTAAATCGAACCTGATCTCATGTATTATAATAAAATATACACCAAAAATAATTATTCAAAGTTACTACTCGTGCATAGATTCTGCGGACGGAGTTTTTATGCGACAACGCGAAGGCCTAATATAAATTTATTTATTTTTTCGATTTACGCTCAAATCGCGTCTGAGGACTAAATAATAATAATACCATATATACATGTATGTAAACGTAATTTACTAGAGCCCGTTTGGTTTGTTCGGACATTTTTTGATCGAGGCTGTGTTGAATGGCACTCAATATGAAACGCTCTCAACCGAGACCTGCCACGAACGTCTGAATTCCGAGAGGATCGCACCGCGCAGCTCCCACGTGGACAATAAAAACGTAATGAATTGTCGAGCTCATTGAATTGCGTCGAGACTGAAAATATTTTCGTGCTTTTACCCTTTTTACAAGTGGAACGAGACTGATTGTATAGTATTTTATGAAGAGATCATGATAATATAAATGATTTGTAGATTTTGTTTTGTACGCGGAATTCAAGGGAAAAATGTGAGTCAAACTTTATGTTTAAGTGATGTCCAAATTGGTACCTGTGTCAAATATTAATTAATGTTCCGTTCCGTTTTGAACCGATCTGTTCGTGTGTAATATTGTTTATTCATTGTAAAGGTATAATACCCCCATCAGGACACCAATAACGTTACACTGAAACATTACAATAATAGTTAATAAATTCTTTTGGGCGAAGATACTAAGGGACGAGGGCCATATTTTATAGGACCTAGAGGTAATATAACTTCCCGCCCAATAAAATCGTATAAAATCTAATTCACTGTTGTGCGATTATTTTGTTTTATAATACACTATTAACATATTATGTTATACCTATTAATTAGTAGCTATGTATAATATAATATTATAGGCATTCCCTTCTAAACGGCCCTCCTCCCATTTTTGATCCTGGTTTCGTGCCAGTATTTGTTTCCTCTGCGATATTTTATAAATCGTCTTCATTTGAAATATATATAAATATATGATATATTATATACCTTTAATATTATATATTTAATAAAATATGATTATATTATATCTAAGCGTACTTCCCGAAAAGATTTTGCGTACTTGCATCAAAATCGTATTATTATTTTTTTTTTTTAAATTGTTGTAATATTATTTTTATTATTATTATTGTCATTATTATATTTTATGTTGCTATTCTTTGGACGTGTAAATATGTTAACGTGTGCATAACGACTTGTAAACGCCAACACATTGGCCTACCGAAATGTATTTTCCATTTTGACATTGTTTTAAAACCGTTATTTTATACATGAATTCATTATTTTATGTCGACAGGGTGATACCATAAACATACTCGTCCTCCGCCAAAATTTGCGATTTATGTAATATTGTTCTACCCATAAAAAGTATTTTTTTAAAACGATTATTACTATTATTATTATTATTATTATTATTATTATTACTATTATTGCATTATTGATATAATTATGTTACGATCCGCGTATAAAATTCTAAAAAAAAGAAAAATTATTTATTTTTTACGCTAAAATAAAAATAACGTTTGATATTGCCGCAAAATATCCCCACACATTGTGTCAAATAATAGGTGTACCCGCGTGACGTTCCGTCGAAATATAACAATATTATTTTCGTTCCTATATTATATTAATAATATTATGTAACATAGATAGTTCAATACCGATTCGGTTGCCAAACGTTCCCCTATTTTTGTACGCGCTCCCGATTTGTGTCTCCTGTACGCCAAATGTCTTGTTTTTATTTATATTTAAAATATGTACGTACGTTGTATCCAAGTACTCTGTATCTCGTTCTCTCTCCAACTGTCATTGTGCATCTGTTTGTATTCTCTCTCTCTCTCTCACTCTGTGTCTCTCCGTACATGTTTAAAGTATTTAATAAATAACATTATATATTAATACGCGTATGCATGTGTGACCCAGCGTGTGTGTGTTTATATATTATTATCGTTGTCGTCCTCGGTATTAATTATGCAACGACATGCGATCGCCGTATGTAACCCGGAAATGCAGTTAAATAGTAGAATCGTCGTATTGCACTACGAGCAGCGCAGATGGACACCGACTGCATTGTAGTCAATGCATTGTGTTCAGGATTTTTCTGGCTGTTTGTGATGACCCTAATCGCTGATATTACTCGTTTTTGTTCCATCGAGGGCGGTCCCCAGTCGTTTTTTCAACTTTTTATATTATTTGTTTCGACGATAAATTAATTACCTAGGTAATTAAAAATCATTGAGCAATATTTAGATCCTTTTTGAATAGAAAAATTAATATACTCGTAGATTTTATGCTGATTATCAACACCCGCAGATAGATTTTCTAGTAAAATTTTTTTTGCGGCCCGATTATCGACAACCATCTTAGCGATCAAACTGTAAGTGAGCTCCCTCTCCCCTCTGGGCATGATTAAATTGGGCTTCTCCTAGATTGTATTGTTTCGCAGAAGAAAACTGAGAAAATACGGACGCTCGTATGAGGGATAGTAATTAATCGAGTTGAAAACTTTCCGATTTGATGACGCGCAACGGCCGTAGAATTAATAGGTGTGTGCGGCCAAAATCAGTGGCTGGATCGAAGGTCGGGTGTTTCATGATTTCTTTTTAATCTCTGATTAAAAAAAACTGTCCTACTCACGGTTTTTACGCGAATTCTGGCTTTTTATTATTTCATACACATACCCCACCGACTATTCTACATACTGTGTACGTTTTTTTTTGAACGAAAATCCATTACTCTGTTTTTACGTTGCACACACATACACGCACACACACACAATACCGACGAGTAAATAAATATAAACGTACAATGCTGTTGTGCACAAAAATGCCGACTATTATTATGATTATTTTATACCTTCGTCGTCGACGACGCCCGGCACGTGCGATACGCCTTCCACCGGTCGTCTTTTGATGATAATAACGTCGCGTAGTCACTGGATTCGAATGCGCTTTGAACCCCTTTCGCATTGAGGGAGGGTGTACACAAGTCAGAGACGTATTATTATTATTATATTATTGGCATTGCACATAGGAACCGTTTGAGTGTGTGTGTGTGTGTGTGTGTGTGTGTGTGTGTGTGTGTGTGTGTGTGTGTGTGTAAGACGATGATATTATTTTAATAAACCTCGTAATTGCGGACTATACGATAATAGTGTATAAACTATACCGCGGCGTGGCACACAAATACATATTACTCTAATCATTTATAATATTAAAATAATTATAATATGTAAATAATAATATTATACCATACGATATTATGACAAAAAAATGTTAATGAAAATATTATGATTTCCAAATAAAACTCATTTACAGTACCTATATATATATATATAAACTTGTCGTCACATGTCGTTGTATTTATTTATGTTAGTTATTTATGCACTATAAGTAGTACCTATAAGTACCTACTCGCGGTTTAAAGGAGGGCAATTTCTGCGCTGTGATATTCTCGAGTACGTAGATTGTAGGCATATATGCGCTGTTATATTAAGTCCGAAGTTAGGATACTTTTCCTCGACTTGATCGGCACCGTTATACTGCGCGTATATACTATATACGTCTTGGCACGAAGAACATTTAAAAAAACAACGATTGAAACGTTCGATTGCGACGAGTCGACGGCCGGCACAGGTTTTGGGTATCGAAAAGAAATCCTTCCAACGTGTACCCGGTGCAGGATCACCGCGGATCGCGGGCAGGCAGGACGAACGAGAGAAGGGCTATAACGATAACAATACATATATATATATATATATAATATTGTTTTGATTTATTAAACTGTATAGCTCGCGAAAGTCGAACCGTCTTTGGCTTAGGGTTGCGGGCGGTACACGCGTACGTTACAACATAATATATATAGAGAGTTTTGAAGATGATGAATCGTGTGCTTGCGCTGAGCACGACTGCTCTAACGACGGCGGCGGTGGCGGTGGCTGACAAAAACCCGCGAAACTTTGACACCTTAAGACCGAAGCCCGGAAGACGTTTCGACGTGGGGTCGACCGGCGGGATGTAAGTGAGTATATACTGCGGCAATAAAACACGACTGTGCCAATAATTAATTATATATTTCGTATTATGTTGTATAAAATATATATTATTATAATACGTTCGGGACTTTGACGGACGGATTATATTATAAGAGCGGGAAAACAACTGGTCGCGATGATATTATGGCCGCGCGGGCAACCAGCTGCGTTGTTTCTCAACGGATTACCAAATAATAATTATTATTTAAATAGCTGCAATATTTATTTATTTTAATACACAACTACTAACTACGAACGCGTGTGTAACACCACAATACCAAATCCACATTCCTACGTAGCGTGGATCCGGTCTCGTACTCGCGTAACCGAGACCGATTAAACGGGTGAAGCGTTTTTAAGGGTATTGCAAACTGTCCTTTTTTTTATTTATTTATATTTTTTATTCTTGGTACAGCATCAGCTACTAGGATATAGTTTTACAACAAAACAAATATTAGCTACATATAAATAAATACAATGGTTTTCTTGGATTAAGTTGTACATATCAGTAAGTTTTAGAAATGTGATGATTTTGTTGGTGTTGTCTTCGATTGGACAGTGTATCTGTGTCCTTTTTTAAAGTGTTTATAATAGATAATATTACGAAGAGTACGTACCACGTGCATACAGACCATGTGCTAGGTAGTTTATAGCGTGGTAAATGGTAATTTATCATTACAGAAGTTCAACTTAAACGCGTTACTCAATCACTTACAGGCTCGGTTGGGCCGGCTCGGTACTATAAGAAATTCTCATAGGGCCGCGCGGTCACGAATGTTTGATAATAATTTTATTTTTATACGATCCCTTATGAAAAATTAGTAGAAAGTATAATTGAGTCAAATTATTAAACCAAACAGTTTTTTTTTGAATGTATGATATTAAAATAAAATTTAGGGGAGGTTCAAATATGTTAGAAGTTAATTTCACTTAAAATACACGATACAATTATTTCTGTTTTCTGAAAATGTATAGCTTTATTAAGATACTTGATCGGTAGGTGATGTGTAGAAGATGAGTATTTTTTAGTACAAAGCAATATGTTCTTCCATTGTATGGTATATGTACCTACCCTTATTGCGTATTTAGAATTTTTTTTTTTATTGATCTTTTTGTAGTTTCGGCGACATGGGCCATTAGCTTTATACTTAGATTAATAAAATATTATGCTAAAACATGTTATGGGTAACAATTTTGTTACAATAATAGGGGGGACTTTATGGCTTATGATTATTGACTATATTCTATTTCTTAAATTCTAGAAATATTTTATAATAGTAAATAGTTACCCTAATGTTCTAAAAATGTTTTACATTACACTTCAATCAAAACGAGTGATTTCATTTTGAACATCGTATAAGCGCTCATGAACACGAGTCATGAAGTTGAGCTTACGTCCTCAATATTTCATCATTATTATAATTAATTTGTTAAACGTACTAGACTCGATGTGCCCGTCAATGTTTTTACATTTTTTACTTACAAGGAAAGTAGAAACTATCGTAGGTGAAATACCTGTATATGTATTATAAACTGTTGTCTGTTATTAATTATTATCGTATCAGTGCACCTGGAAATATGTGCAAACTATTTTTTAAAAAGAACTATTGTTCTTACATTTTTGCGAAAAATGAAAATGAGTTGTATTTTAGGTACCTAAATGCACCCAAAGCTGTTGTGACCGCAAAATATACAATACTCGTCATCTATAACCTCTGTTTGTATGATGGTTAATATTTTAACTATAGTTGAAATTCCCAACAGAGGGTGTTATCGGAAATATCAACTTCATCAATTCAATGGACAGTACGTAATTATGTAATGGTATTGTTAATTATATTATAAAGTGATTTGGTTTAGTGCAATATTAATATTAAATACAAATAATGTTACAGACAAAGTATGAAATCAGGAATTGCTCGCTGTGCCCAATAATTTTGTTGATCAAAATAGGAAAATATAATTAATAAATACATACACACCTATTCCAGTCAGAGTAAAACAGCACAATTTATTGATGTATTTTGATATTGGGTAATGCATTAATAAGTAATAACACAAAAGAAAAAAAAAGTAACAAAGCTGAATAAGTTGAAAGAGCTTCAACATAATATACCAAAATGTATACGTCCGATAGTTCCAATTTCGTGATTTTGGCTTGAATATTTAATATTTAGTTAAGAGTTAATTGACCTATTATTCAAACTACTAATGAATGAACATTATCTGTGTTTTTTCGTTAGTTTTTTACGATATATTTATTTTGAGGTGAATTATGAGCATTTTAAATATTAATATTTTGCGTACTCATAATTCACTTCAAATGTAGGACCTATCGTAAAAAACCTACGTCAGGACATAGCTAATGTTCTTACATTTTAATTTTTATTATAGATAAATTCACTCTAATATTAAAGCTAACAACACAAAATTGGAAATACTGGTTGTTAATTCTGGTATAATATGCGTTGGTAAGGAAAAGATAATATTAGAGCACAAGTGGGTACGAAGTCTTCTTAAGATAAATATTTAATAATACGACTTTTGAACATAATAGATGACATAGAATCGCAAAAAATATCAATATTTGACAAATCATTAAAAGTGCGGCAAGCGTGATCAAGATTGGCTATAAATTATATAAAACATAATAAGAGATATAGCAGAGTAATTATAGTATTATTTATTAATATTTCATATATTTTCTATTTTCTATCATGTCAAAATATAATTTGATTTTCATCTTATCCAGTTATTTTTTAACCTAATACCTATTTATGTCTTACTTTTTGTAATTATAACCTAATTCAAATATCAATCCGTTGAATTTTTATCTGCAATGTTCTTATGTCTTATCGTTTAATATTGTTGTCATCTCTATTTACGATGAATTCTCGGTATTTCCGTAGATTCTCAACTTTTAGCGGTGTTCGTCAATCGATCGATATTTCGCTATGAACAAGGCAGAAAAACAAATCACACCTACGCCACGGCGCGTAGACGTAGTCCCACACGTCGGCCCTATATATTCCGATAAGACATATTTTCCGAGTTCAGGTTTGCTATAATATTATATACTGGCTAATCATCATTCTTATGAAATATTTATTTAGCTTTATGTGATTTATGTAACGTCTACATCCCTCGACTCGTGGTGTACCACCTCCCCTCCATAACGCATGACTGCAACCACGTGGGTTCGCAGAATTGTAAGTCGTAATTTATACAAAGTCTGGAAAATATCGAGTGCATATTGTATATATGTATAGGTATAGTATATGGAGCTGCAAAAAAATATGAAATAATGACGCGTCGTAATAAATTATTGTGGTTTGAAACGAAAAATCAGTACCGAATAAATTAGATTTCGATGAAACTCGTTTGGTTTTTTTCCCCTGTTGCGAATTACTTTTTACCGACAATATGGCTGACTCAAACATATTTCGATTAATTAACGCGTTAATAATTATAGAGAAATGAATATTATGCTTGACAGTTGGGTATTTGTTTTGTGGTTTTACACAACCGACGATTGTCGGTAATAATATTATATCCGATGCGAGTTTAATCCGATTATCAATATATGTGCATGAAATCGAAACGGGTTTTCAACGCTATTTTTTTTCTTAAAACATATTATACATTTTTAAACCGTCCACCGTCAGTGCGAAATCTGA